AATTATTCATTGAATGAATACATGAATGGTGTATGTGAAAGACAAAGCTAGGTACATCCAAGTAATGATGATTAGACCCTGGGAAAGGGTCTATGTGTCATATTTCTACCAGGAAGCTCGTTAGGTAGTTGGTTTAGCCATAGTGTATGACCAGAGTATGTTGTTAATATCTGAATCTAATGTACTCATTTTTGTGTCATCTGCCTTTAGAGCAAATCTTTTGGTAACAAATAGAACAAAGAACAAAAACAAAAGTTACCTCAGCAGTTTATATTTTAGTGTTTTTTTTCCCTCCGAATAATCTTATGTTAGAATTAAAGAGACATCTCCAACAAATAGCCATCAGCAGGTACAAACTCCATTGTAAGGACATTCCTTACAAAGGCAATGGCTATAGGTCACACACTGTGTTTATGAGTGACAGCCACACATAACAGATACTAGCGTCATCACCCAGCTCATCTCCAAATGTGAAGGATCCAGTGACACCCACATTTAGTCCTTGGGTCTTTGGTGATAAAGAAGACCCTTTATCATCCCCAGAACTTCATGTCCATTATTTTTTGCCGTATGTAATGAAATGACTCAGCTGTCTTCTTTCCATTTGTTTGGAATATATAACAACAATTAAAAAAAAACTGTTGCCATCAAGTCGATTTCTATTCTGACTCATAGTGACCCTATAGGGCAGAGTAGAACTACCCCATAGAGTTTCCAAGGCTGTAATCTTTAAGGACTGCCACGTCTTTCTCCCGTGGAGCAGCTGGTAGGTTTGAACTGCCGACCTTTTGGTTGGCAGCCAAGCGCTTTAATCATTGTACCATCAGGGTTCCTTTCAGAATATATAGTGTTGTAAAATCAACTGTCACAATCACCAGTCTCTCTCACTGATTGTACTAAAATAAGATTCTCTATTCTGGTGGTCTGACGTATTGTTTTATTACAGTTATTTGGGAGGTCTTGTTATTATTGCTAATTAAAGAACAGTACTAAGGTATGTTGATTATTTTATTTCAAAAAACTTAATTAGAAGTCATTCTTATTCATATGTATTCTGTCGTGGATTGAATTATGTCCCCCAAAAATTGTGTGTATCCGTTTGGCTAGGCCATGATTCCTGGTACTGTGTGATTTTCCTGTATGTTG